TCGGGGTTGGTGTATCTTATTTATATTGTTTGCGACGAAGTATTCCCGCCATTTAAATCCTTAACCTCTATATTTGTTTTTTTATGAATGATTCATGAATTTATATATATATATATATATATATATATATATATATATATATATATATATATATATATATATATAATAAATTAGTGCAAGCTAATTTGTACATTGGTAACTATAAAATGATTAATTTTCAATCAGTCTCTTTCTCGTAGACGTGCCGTGGCTTCCCTCTGTCTTTTCTACAAATACTTTCACGGTAACTGCTACGACGAGCTACTTTCTCTGGTTCCCAGACTGCATGAATTTAAAACGTGCAACTAGGCTGCCATCTCGCTCTCACCCTTTCACTGTCGAAAACGGTTAAATGTAACCGTTTCTTCTACTCGAATACCTTCATGTCTCTCACTTCCCGTCTGTGGAACTCCTTTCCTCTTACTTGCCACTCTGATGGCTATAATCTCCAACTATTCAAATGTAACGTCAATCGACCTCTTCAGATTCCTTGGTCTTATTCCTCCGTCCTTCTCTTCATCCTTCCTTCCTTTCACGCCTCTTTACACTTTCTCCCCAGTCTCTGTAACCACTTGCGCTCTGTTGGTACTCCCGCCTTGCTTGACGTGAAATGCTTAAAAAAGAAACAACTATGGTTAAAATGAAGAATGTTTTACCGCACTAAACGAGTATTATGTATACAATAATTGAATTTTGCTGTATTCAAATTTTAGCACACTATTTGAAAACTCATTAATTGAATGCGCATTAATCGAGGAATTCCTGTATGTGATAAAAATAATATTTTATGGTATGCTGTTTCTATCGGTAAGAGCACTCACTATCCTGGCCTGAACATTGAGCTCAAACATAAAACAGACTGCCGTCGCTCGATATTGACATCAAAAAAATATATTTTATACATACATATATATATATATTGATTTAAAGAAAATGAATTTCTTTTGTATGACCATTTTTTTTTTTTTTTTTTTTTGCAGGACCTAGGTACCTTTCGGCCAACGCTTCATCAGGGTCTTTCGTTGGCAAATGATTTTAAACAAACAATGGAAATGAAAAGAACGCCAAAATGATATGGTTGGAACACGTCTAAAATTTTACGAAGATATATATACGTAAAATTAAAATAAATTTACGATTAAAATAAATGCGTAAATAATGAATTAAATTAATTAGAAAATGAGTCATGCTCAAAACGTTTCACAATGGACTCGTTTTCAATTATATGCGTAGGCAGGTCCAAATATCATCTGTCTATTTTGGAAGCCATCTGCCTCAAATTATTTAAACCATCGCTTTCTAAACAAAAAGGAGAATTTTTTCACGATCGCTAAATTTATTTTTTGATATATGAGCAACTTTTTTTTTCTATTTTACTGCTCAGGTTGGTTCATTTTAATTCATTATTTACGCATTTATTTTAATCGTAAATTTATTTTAATTTACGTATATATATCTTCGTAAAATTTTAGACGTGTTCCAACCATATCATTTTGGCGTTCTTTTCATTTCCATTGTTTGTTTAAAATCATTTGCCAACGAAAAAACCCTGATGAAGCGTTGGCCGAAAGGTACCTAGGTCCTGCAAAAAAAAAAAAAAAATAAAAAGAAATTCATTTTCTTTTAAATCATTATATTTGTTTTGTGGTATCAAAACATTATTATATATATATATATATATATAATTCATCGAGTCTGATAGAAATCTCAACAGAATACAGAAAGCACTGGACGTATGTTTTGTCCAATATTTGGGATTCATCAGCAGTGCGCTTCCCTTACGAGAATTGAAATCCTGACAGATAGGGTTGTCAAGCAAACATCATACCAACTGTTCCACCAGGTTTCGGTGACGAAGAGATTGCAACTCAGACTCAATATAGCGCCGCTCGCTCACTTATTCCGTGGTGGAACTGTTCCTGAGTTCTCTGTAACCATATGGTTTACCCCCCCTGGAGCCACTTTTTTCACCAAGCTGCTCACTCTAGAGCATTAGAAGCCAGTTCAATAAAATGATATACACAGATAGAAATTATTAGGATTTTTATATATATATATATATATATATATATATATATATATATATATATATATATATATATATGGGGGGTCTGTGTATTATATATGCGTGTATATATAGGGATGGGGATGCATTATAGTATACGAAAAAAAAGTAAAGACAAAATGGAAAAATGTATTAACGACGTGTTTCGCGGAGAGCAGTCTGCTCTCTATGGCTTCCTCGGGTTCGAATGAAACAAAGACAAAATTGTACTTGAAGTAAAATGCATTGAGTTCTCCGAGGGTACGTACTGACCTGAAATAAAATTAATTTAAATTACCGTCTTATCTCTAATGTCCAGACTCAAGAGAGTGTCTGTCAGACCTACTCTAGACGTTACGCATTGGTAATAAATATCAGATAATATATGGCAGTTAAAAAAAATAAGAGAACGGAACGTATGTTATATATGACAGAGGCAAATGGACGCTACGTTACATCATTGGTAAAGTGTTTCAAGCTGAGATTCTAGGTCAGAACCGATAACATTGCAGATTCTTCTCTGGATTTAGTCAGCAATCTCTAAGATACATAGCAGAAGAACAAGACCAGATGTGGCAAAAATGTCCAATGCACGGACGAGTCGTAGACTTATAAACGTGCAAGATAGATTGTGGCGGGAAAAAAATCTAACACAAGACAGTGCACTGAATTACCTTGTAACTGATTCGTTAAAATCATTCCAATTAATTTTAATGGGTAACGTTAGCCCAAGAAAATCTATCTATCTATCTATCTATCTATCTATCTATCTATCTTAGTCTGTTCATATCTATCTATCTATCTATCTATCTATCTATGCCAGCCCTTTCATATCGATTTAGAAAGTAACGCTATTAATATCTGTCTATCTAGTCATCTGTCTCAGTTTGTTCATATCTATCTATCTATCTATCTATCTATCTATCTATCTATCTATTCCAGCCTTTTCATATTTATCTAGAATTTAACGCTATTAATATCTGTCTATGTAGTTAGAAAAAAGTTTGTTCATAAGAAGAAATCTATCTATCTATCTATCTATCTATCTATCTATCTATCTATGCCAGCAGTGATAGACCTAACATATTTAGTTGGATTGACGTGAGTTTGCGACCCTGGGTTTCAACTATTTTTGCGATCGTCAAACAAACTGATTAATTTTTAAATTTTGGATTTATACATGGTTTGTATATCGGTTTTTTTTATGATAGTGGGAGGAAAAATTGTCGTCGGAACGCCACTCATACGTACGTAATATATATATATATATATATATATATATATATATATATATATATATATATATATATATATATAATGTTCAGCTTTGCAGCTCCCAAAAACTTAAACATATATGAACATTATTGGGACTGGGCTTATATTCGCATGATTGTGTCGTTGCGTACGCAACTGCGTACAAAATTTGCGTAAATTGGTTATTATTCAATGTTGGATTTGTAGCGAACTTTTCAAAGTCGCAGTGTCAATGCACAGACCGTTCGTCTATTTTGTTCACGGGATAAAGTTTTCTCGCACACACATATACGTATGCACGCGAGTTCACACATCTTCTATCGGTTTTTTTTTTTTTGTTGTTTTTGATCTGAAGATGGGGTCTGTGTAAGACTATGGTAGGTAATACGTCTTTCAATGTAACTGAGATATTGATACAAAATTATTAAACCTTATCAATTTTTTTTAAATAATCATAGCCGTTACCATAGTAATTTTAATTTCAATAATGAATATATTTATAAAAAACGTAAATTTCAGGAATAAGTTATTCAAAAAAAAAAATTCGCTTGAAGATGGAAATTTTAGTATTTTAATTCAATTTAATTCAAATAATTATATTGACATTTTTCAGCTCTTGTTTTGAAAACATGAGAACTCTTATATAGCGATGGAATCATTTTTAAATAAATAATTATATTTAGGCTCTACTTTTGTATCGAGCACTATTTTTTAAAAAATAACAACAAAAATATTTTTAAAGAACTTTGGATTATTTACCTAACGAGTTTTTTCCTATTTTCTATATATTTTTACACACACACACACACACACACACACACATATATATATATATATATATATATATATATATATATATATATCGTTATTAATTATTAATTAATAATTGTAAAAATTATGTCAATATAATAAGACTTTGATTTAATACCATTTTTATAATTATTCTTCCCATTTGACGTAATGGCGTAAAACATTAATGAACATAAATGGATACAGATGGAATAGTTTTCTAAAATGTGAACAAGCCTGACATTTTTTAATTGAGAAAAGTTTTTTATGTTTTTTATTGTTTTTGTGTGTTATTATATGTGTATATATATTTTTTGTGTATTTATTTTTTATACCTTTATTGGAATATATAGGCATTTAAAAAAAGATTTTGACCCTAGAACCCCATTTACACAAGAATCTCTTAAAAAAAAATATAGGAAAAAATGCAAACGAAATTAAGAAGACAGTTTGGATCAAAAGCGTTTGTTTCATAGGCAAAAATTCATTTTTGTTTCTTACAAACAAACACATAAAAACACTGATGTATATGCAATATATAGCTATACCTATACTTATATAAATATTTCTGCCCCAATCCTCCCCCCCTCATAATCTCTCTCTTTCTCTCTCTCTCTCTCTCTCTTTCTTTCTTATGAGTTTTCCATTAACACACTGGCATAAAAAAATGAAAAATTGAATAATTGGTTTAGGAAGACGTTACATTTTTGAAACAAATAAAAAAAAGAATACAAACAAACGAAAGAAGAAAAAATATTATATTTAATTTTGGAGGGAAGGAACGTTTGTTCGAAAATAATTGAAAAGAAAGGAAAAAAAGAAAAATTGAAAGAAAATTAAAAGAAAAAGCTGATGAAACAACAAATACAACAGACTAGAAGAAAGAAAGAAAAGATGTTGTTGTTTTAAAGAAAAAGTTGGTAAAAAAAAAAGAATATAAAAGAACTACGAATTGGAAGGAAAAGGAAGGAAAGAAGGAAGGAAGAAAAGAGGGAAGAATGGGGGAGGAAAGAACAAAGGGTATAAAAAACTACGAATATTTAAGAAAGATAATGAAAATTAAGAATATCGGTTTTATTGGATAGAGGAAAGAAGGTTGAATTCTTTAGAAGATAAAGAAAGAAAGGAAGGAACGAATAAAAAAAGGACGAATGATGTGAATATATTTTCACCTATTGAATTACTGCTTGTTTTTTGAATTTTTAAGTCTTTAAAGGGAAAAAAAAATTTTTTTTTCAAACTTATCCTGATGAAAACTATGCAAATGAAGACAAAAAAAATTTTTTTTTTAAACTTAGGCACAAATCAAATTAAAAATGTCAACTGGAAAAAAAAGAATGCAGATGAACATGTTGATAAAAATTAAAAGAAAAAAAATCAAAAAGCTCCCCCCCCAACCGAAAAAAAAATCAAATAAGTAAAAAAAAAAAAAATTCGTTTCGTGTGTCAAAGAAAACTCAAAGAAAAAAGAAACACCAATATCGCTGAAAGAAAAACACCTGCGCCATTTTGGACGTGAATGGAATGAGCAGGAAAGAAACGGAAAGAAAAAAAGAAGTATTCAAAGAAAAAATCTGAAGAATTGAAAGAAAGAAAAGAAAGAAAGAAAGAAAAGAAAGAAAGAAAGAAAGAAAATTCAAAAAAAAAAAAAAGAAAAAAAGAAAAAAGAAAGAGAAAGAAAGGATAAATCTATGAACATTGATGAAAAAAAGAAAGAAAGAAAGAAAGAAAGAAAAGAAGTAAAAGGAAAGAAAGAAAAGAAAGAAAGAAAAAAAAGAATGGAGATGCAAAGAAAGAAAGAAAGAAGAAAAGAAAGAAAGAAAGAAAGAAAGAAAGAAAGAAAAAGAAGTTGCAAAAAAAAGAAAAAAGAAAAAATAAAAAAGGATAAATGAAAAAAATATTAATGAAATTCATATGAAAAAGAAAGAAAAGAAAGAAAGAAAGATTTAAAAAAAAAGAAAGAAAAAGAAAAAAGAAAGAAAGAAAAGGAAGAAAATCTATGAATTATTGAAGAAAAAATTCATAAAGAAAGAAAGAAAGAAAGAAAGAAAGAAAAAGAAAAGAAAGAAAATTTTTAAAAAAAAAAAAAAAGATGCAAAATTTTTAAAAGAAAGAAAAAAGAAAGGGAAAAAAAAAGAAAGAAAGAAAGTTAAATGAAAGGATAAAATCTATGAATATTGATGAAATTCAAAGAAAGAAAGAAAGAAAAATAAAAAAGAAAAAGAAAGAAAAAGAAAGAAAAAATATAAAAAAAAAGAAAAATGAAAATATATAAAAGAAATTCTGAATACAAAAAAGAAAGAAAGAAAAGAAAGAAATAAAGAAAAGAAAATATAAAAAGAAATAAAGAAAATATATAGAGGATAAATATACGAAAGATTGACGAAATTAATACCAAATAAAAGAAAGAAAGATGAAAGAAAGAAAAAAGAAAGAAAGAAAGTCTGATGAAAGAAAGAAAGAAAAAAAAAGAAAAAAAAATAAAAAACAAAGATGACAAAGAATTTAAAGAAAGAAAGAAAAGATTTTAAAATGAAAAAAGAAAGGTTGAAAAAGAAGAAAAAGAAAGAAAGAAATTTAAAGAAAGAAAGAAGAAAAAAAAAGAAAGAAAGAAACTGGTGAAAAAAGAAAAAAGAATCCTACATAAAGAAAAAAAAAAAGAAATAAAAGAAAAAAATTCCAAAGAAAGAAAAAGAGAAAGAAAAAAAAAATAAAAAGAAAAAGAAAGAAAAAATCTGGTTTAGAAAGTAAAAAATTTTTTTTTTATGAAAATTGAAAAAATAAAGAAAAATATGCAAACGGATATAAAGAAATAAAGAAAAAAAATAAAAAAATTTAAAGAAAGAAAAAGATTCAAAAGACCTAAAAAAAGAAAAAAAAAAAAGAAAGAAATAAAAGAAAGAAAGATAAAAGAAAAAAGCCATGTGAAGAAAAGAAAAAAAAAAAAAAAAAGAAAAAAGAAAGAAAGATAAAGAAAGAAAGAAAGAAAGAAAGAAAGAAAAAGAAAGAAAAAAGAAAGAAATTTCAAAAAAAGAAAGAAAGAAGGAAAAAAAAGGCTTTCTTATAAAGAAAGAAAAATTTTTGAAAAGAAAAATTCAAAGAAAAAAGAAAGAAAGAAAGAAAGAAAAAAAAAAAAAAATTTGAAAAATTTTGAAGAAAAGAAAAAAAAAGAAAGAAAGAAAAAAATAGAGAGAAAAAAAAAAATAAAAGAAAGAAAGAAAAAAAGAAAAAGAAAGAAAGTAAAGAAAGAAAGAAAAAAGAAAAAAAGAAAGATGCAAATAAAAAAAAAAAGAAAAAAAAGAAAAGAAACAAAAAAGAAAGAAAGAAAGAAAAAAAAAGAAAAGAAAAAGAAAGAAAGGAAAAAAAGAAAAAAGAAAGAAAAATTAAAGAAAGAAAGAAATGAAAAAGAAAAGAAAGAAAAAGAAAGAAAAAAAAAAAAAAGAATTAAGAAAGAAAATTAAAGAAAGAAATAAAAAAAAAGCAAAAGATAATAAAGAAAGAAAAAAAAACAAATTTTAAAAGGAAAATTAAAGAAAGAAAAAAGAACGCTAAAAAAGAATATATAAAGAAAGAAGGAAGATTGTGGGAAATCAAAAAAAAGAAGATTCTTCATTAGTTGGATTTGTTTTCGTTGCAAAGAAAATAAAGAAAAGATTTTTTTTGTCTTTTTTGATTTGTTTTTTCTCAAAAGTTTTAAAAAAGAAAGAAATAAATTATCTTATGCAAAGAAAACCCTTTATTCAACTAAACACTTTTCTGTGGTTTTCAAAAAACTGGTTTTTATGATCTATTTAATATTCTTAGATTTTTTTTTATGATGCCATGTCCCTTCATAAAGATGCTGCGACCAAAAAAAAGAAAACAATAAGGTTTTCCTTTTAAAGTTCCCTTGTAGCTGAAAGAAATAAGTTTTGTCCCTTTACAAACCTTTTAAAGGACCTGTTCAAAGTCATGAAACTTTCTCAAGAAAACCTAGATACTTCCCATTAAAGAAATGAATAAATTTTTTTTATTGAATCTATTCGACCTAAAAGTTGAAAGATTCCCCAAATTTCCTTTCTCATTACGTAAAGAAAGAAATTTCAGCTGCCTCTTCCTGATGTTAAGTATAAGCCTATTTCCTCCTTGTTTGTAATAAAATCTCTTAAACCTGATCATTGCACAAATGTTTCAAATAATAATATCCTTTTTATCCTTCTGTAGATCCACATCTCCGTTGCCTCGAAATATGAAATTCATCTTTAAGGAAACCGTCCGACATTCGCTGCCGTAATGGAGAACAGATGTAACGTTTGAAAATAAATCTTTTTTTTGTTGCCAAAGATTTCTATTGCTATTTCTTAATACACTGTTTTAGCTTTTGGTATGTGTCTTTTTAAATCCCAAAACGTCTTCGGAAAAAGCGTCGCACTCAACCGTCCTCTGTCAGAACACTTCCCAGATATTTAAATTTTCGCACCTTCTTGATTTTAGAGTAAAAACCTTTTAACATCGCATTTTCAGGCATCATTTTTTTTACTGATGACTCTGAAATTCTGTCTTCTTGAAAGTTTTAGCCTTCTTTCTCGCTCTCCTTCGCTATCTTCTGTAGGAGGCTTTGTAAGAAATTTTCCGTGTCTCTTTCAAAGGTGTAATATAAATTTTTTTCCTTCTCCTTGGTGCATACCGTAACAAAAATTAGTTGGTGGGGGCATCAATCCAAATAACACCAACCCATATAAAAAAAAGAAGAAACGCATAGATACATTAAGAATACATACAGATAGATAGATAGATAGATAGATAGATAGATAGATAGATAGATAGATAGAAGGAATATGAAAAAAAAATAATAGATGTAAATAAGAATTAGTATCAATAGATAGTTAGATATAGAAGATAAATAGAAATCTCTGAATAGACAGAGATAGGTTGAGATAGATAGAAAATAGATTGATAGATAGATAAGAATTTGAATTTGAATAGACTGAGATAGATGATTTTAGAATAGAAATGAGATAGATAAAAAAGGATAGATAAAGATAATAGAAGAAATAGATAAATAGATAGATAAATGAATAGAAAATGAAAAAATAGAAATGGATAGATAATAGATAAATTTTCTAAATAGATAGATAGATAGAATATCTTAAGGCTCAAAGAAAATAGATAGATAGATAAATAGATAGATCCCATGATGAAAGAAGAATAATTAAATGAAATGAATAGAGAGATAGAATAGATAATAAATAGATAGATATGATATAATGAGAAAGAAATGATAGAAGAAATAGATAGAGCAAGATAAATAGATAGATAGATAGATGGATAGAATAGAAAATAGATAGATAGATAGATAGATAAATGAGATCATAAATAGACTAAATTTCTAGTAGCTTATATAAATATAGTGATAGAAAGAATGATATAGATATATATATATATAGAAAGAAAGAAAGATTTTTAAATGAATGAATGAACAGGTAAAATGATAATGGACAGATAATAAATTAATGAAGTCATTTTTTTTTAGATGCATTGGGAAAATCGATAATTTAAATTAAATTTTCTTGAATTTTTTCTTTATTTCCTATTCCAACCCTTTTTTTCTAAATCTCTATTTCTTTCCATCTTTATGTATTCTATATATATATATATATGTACTTAATATTTACGGAACTAATACATATGAAGCGGCCCGTGGAATGGTTTCAAATACAGCCGTAAATCAAATCCTTTGCTGACAGAATTTCCCAAAAAAAGAATCACACGGAAGCTTCTTATTTGCAAAGAGATCGATGAAAAAACACTTACTTGTTTGTTTATTCTAAAGAAGTTGTCTTCGCAACCCCCTCCCCTTCTGCCAATAAAATCTAAATGACTATTTGAAGATCACTTGACAGAAACACATCACACGCCCACATTTAATCAAATACACCAACCAATAAATTCATTAACTAAAACGATAAATAAGGAATGTTTATCTTCAGAGATTACGACAGCCGCTTTTATTTCATTTCTCTTTGAACAACAGGTCTTTAACAAATATTTTAAATGGGTTCTAATTTCCTGTGGTCAAAGAGTGTAATTATAAGGCGTCTTAGATAAGCATGTAGTTTTTTGACCGATGTAATTTATTTATGAGTTCGTTTTGATCAATGAACACAATTTGATTTAAATTTCATTTGAACTCATAGATAATGTTTATCGTTCTAATTTTGACTTTAATGTGTTGTTATTTTTGAGGATAAGGTTAGCTGTCTTAAATTTTTTTTGTAGTGTACATAATTAATTTGATTTATTTTATTGGATTCAGTTAGAAAATGACTAATTTCTTTATAATATTTTTTAAGTGAACACAAAAAAAATTAAAAAAAAAGCTTAATCGTAGTACCTTGTCTGTTGTTTTTAATGAAATATGCATAAATGAAGATTATATATATAAATATATATATATATATATATATATATATATATATATATATATATATATATATATATATATATTTATTTAAAAATTATAACATAAATATGTTGTTAAAATCACTACAAAAAATAGCCATTTTGTTTCAACACCTACGGTGTCTTATCAAGTGATGATGTTGAATGTAAAATAAATGGTTTTAAAAGTTTCAAATTAATTAACGATCCTTCACAAGGGGAAAAACGTTGTTACAAAAGCTAGAATGACCAATCAAAATACAAGTATAGGAAAATTCAAAAACTTGACAACGAAGTAAGGTTATAATAGCTATTCAGATCTTTAAAATTGGGGTTATATTAAAAAAAGAATTTATTCTAACCAATAATTATTAAATTATATGATAAAATTTGATATTAAAATTAAAAATTACCAATTTTAAAATCTAAATTTAATCTCTATTAAGTTTAAAATTATAAAATTACTGAGGAGAAAAGAAAAAATACATATGTTATTCAATTTATTTCCTTCATTGAAATTACGTTAGAATAGACGCTCATATATCTGGTCTTCCTAATAAAATGTATACATTTTAATCCCAACTGTGAATGGGGTGCTAAACTCTCGCGTAAAACAATACAAACAAACACAATCAGATTATAATAAACAAGCAGATAGACATATTTAGATATATATACACACAAAAAGTGAAGACAGGAAACATCTCCACGGCCCTTTAAAAAAAAAAAAAAAAAAAAACAAACACACACATACATAATTAAAATTAAATATTGCATGCATTTTTATACACATAGACACCGATAAATACATGTACACACATCCACATACATTATATAGACAATCTGATACCACAACCAAGAAATATTCAAGACTGAAAGTGTTATTAAACGAATGCTAACCACTTATCAAAAAATATAACTTATACGGGCAAATATACATAGATAAAATAAAAATGGTTAAAAATAACATTATCTAAATATATAAAAAGAAAATTCCAAAACACAAACATCTATAAAAATATATATTTTTATTATATAAATCGATATATATATTATTATATATTAGGTGAAAGAAAATAAGATGATAAGAACTACCTACAAATATAAAATATACAGTCACATATATAACATATATATACACATACACACAAATATATGTCTACACATATATATATATATATATATATATATATATACATATATATATATACAGAAGCAAGTATAAATAAATATCAACCCACACAGCGAAGTAAAAATAAACAAACCAAATATAAATATAAATACATACATGCATATATATACAAATATACATATATATATATATATACATATACATATATATATATATATATATATAAACATATGCATGTATATATAAAAAATATATAAACTAAACACACAAACATACATATATACCAACACATATACAAAACACGCATATATATAAAAAAACATACAAACGATAAATTGATTATAGAAGACATATATATACAAAAACACAAAAAATCTTCAAATATATATATATATATATATATATATATATATATATATATATATATATATAATCATACACATATATACATATATACATGCACACAAAAAATGGGAATATATATACAGAAACCTACATATATTCTAACAACATTATCATATTGACGAAAAAATATAGTAAAAGTTCATAATAATTTTTTAAAAAGTAACCACATACAGTTTTTGATTAAGTCTATAAGCAATAAAAAGATCCCTATCAAACAAAAGTACTCACTGACCAAAAAGCGCGGGAAGAAGTAAAAATAAAACCTCAAGTACGGAAGGTCAGCAGTGTCATAATCAAAATTATGTTATTTAAGTTTAAACTAAAATTTTTTATATATATATATATATTATATATATATATATATATATATATATATATATATATATATATATATAAATTCATGAATCATTCATACAAAATAGAGGTTAATGATTTAAATGGCGGGAATACTTCGTCGCAAACAATATAAGTATACATCAACCCCGAACCTGTATATGAATGATATGATCCCTGTTTATAAATTCCATTTGCATAAGGTCTTTTTAATTGTTTACAAGCTTTCGTCTGTTCCTACAGACATCATCAGGTATAGAATTAGATTTTGTTCTTGTTTTTACTTCTCAGTAATAAGAGGACAACGAAAATAGAGATGTAATCCGAAAAAATGCTATGAGAAATGTGTTATTGTTTTGGAACGTGCGGTCGCAACGCTGAATTTGAATTTTAAATTTTAAGGTTGTGCGTTTTTGTACAAATATAGCAAAAATCGCGAAAAAAAAAACACCAGGCACAGGTTTTATTAACACTAAACAAGCTGAACAAATTGCTGAACAGAAACATTGAAATAAAATAAGTTCAGATTTGTGTGTGTATTATAAAATATCTCTGGTTTTATTTCATAACATTTAAAATCTATGCCCTTTAAAAAATTTTACTAAGTTTTTTTTTTTATTAAAAAAAACAATTGTTTTATGTAAAAAAATAAACGTACCTAGAAAAAATGGAAAGGTCATAATTTACATTAAAAATGAATCTGGATCAATTTATTTTAACAGACATTTATTTTTATGCCTACATGTGACCATCAGTTCATTTTCTTTTGTTTAAATAAGTTAGGGATATTTAACTAATTTTGCTAGAAAAAAAAAAATCTTACAAACCAAAAATATTTTCTGGAAAAGAGTGATTCACTGTAAAAATGAATCAATTAAAATGTAAAAAAAACGAAAACCCAAATAATTTTAAATGCGTAACCTTGTATTCTTGTTTCATGTATTCGTAATCGATTACGGATTTAAAAAAAAAAAAATATTTTTTTTATTTTAAAAGCGTCACATGGGCATATTTGATTTGGCTTCCATAAGTAGGGGGAATGTGTCGGGTCATTTCAAGACGTTGGCGATAATGGCTCTCTACAATTTCCTGTCATCATTCGTAGCTCTTACTAACTAAATTTTGTCTTTTTTTACAAAATTCTCCAAAATTATGAAAAATAAAATATACATTTTTAAAAATTTTCATAGGTAGGTTATGCGTTGATTTCGTAAATCCCTCTTAGTCTTGCTTTCAATATTTTCTGTGAGTGTCAATTTTTCCAAAGGGCTTTGTTTCTTAATATAAATAAATAATTGAAAAAAAATGTATTATAAATTAAAAAAATCATTAAAAAAATGTATTATAAATTTTAAAAATTGGAAAAAAAATGTTATTATAAATTAAAAAAATTATTAAAAAAAATGTATTATAAATTAAAAAAATTATTGAAAAAAATGTATTATAAATAAAAAAAGCATTGAAAAAAATGTATTATAAATTAAAAAAATTATTGAAAAAATGTATTATAAATAAAAAAAATTGAAAAAATGTATTATTAAAAAAAAAAAATTATTGAAAAAATGTATTATAAATAAAAAAAATTATTGAAAAAAATGTATTATAAATAAAAAAATTATTAAAAAAATGTATTATAAATTAAAAAATTATTGAAAAAAATGTATTATAAATAATTGAAAAATGTATTATAAATAAAAAAAAATTAGGAAAAAAAATGTATTTAAATATAAAAAAATTATTGAAAAAAATGTATTATAAATTAAAAAAATTATTAAAAAAAATGTTTATAAATAATTGAAAAAAATGTATTATAAATAAATAAAAATTATTGAAAAAATGTATTATAAATAAAAAAAATTATTGAAAAAATGTATTATAAATTAAAAAAAATTATTGAAAAAAATGTATTATAAATAAAAAAAGATTATTGAAGAAAAGAAATGTATTATAAATTTTAAAAAAGTCATTGAAAAAATGTATTATTTATATTAGCAGTGTTTGCTATACAACTCCACTAAGATAAAAAAAAATGTTGAACAAGTAGGAAAAAATGTACTTATATAATAAGTATTAATTTACTTATTAAGAAAAAAAAAATTAAAAATAAACTTATATAGAATTAAATATATATATTTACAAAAGCTAAATGAAAGATGAGAGTATTTTTTGGTTATTTTCGATTGAACTGATTATCCTGAACCACGTGGACGCTACGTCGAGGCGGGGATCCCCTTAACAACCAGGTGAAATAAAAAAGGGAACAACGCACTATGCCGTATGAAAGACGCCAATTGAAAAAATTTAATATGAAACGGTTATGAAAAATGTATATATTTTTATATATATAAGTGGGTATATATATACATATATGCATATATATGCATGTATATATGTATGTATATATATTTTTACGCTCAGGCAAAGCAGTGCTGAAGTTTTTTCGTTCGACAAAGGGTGCACGAGGACAGGCAATTTATTGAGCTGCTCACTTAAAAATGTATGTATAATTAATTAATTGTATGTGAGAATCGTTGAAAAAAAATTTGTGTTTTTGTTGCTGTTCCATTTTGGTTACTGAATAATTTATTAAAAGGATTTCTTTATAAAGTATCCTGACAGGAATTAAGGAGCGAAAAAAAAAGGTTTTATTATGGGGAAAATATACGTTAATTTGGAAATCGGTTGGTTGTTTAACAAGACACAAAGGGAAAAGGGAAAAAATTACGAATATATATGGCTGAAAATAATAGATAGATAGATAGATAGATAGATAGATAGATAGATAGATAGATAGATAGCAAAATATGAATAGAACTAGACAAATAAATGATTTGAAACTTTGGTATGATAGATAGATATAATAGATAGATAGATAGATAGATATGATAGATAGATAGATAGATGAATGAATATTGAATAGAAATCTAGACAGATATTAACAGACTAAGATAGATAGATAGATAGATAGATAGATAGATGAATAGATAGATAGATAGATAGATAGATAGACCTGAGACTAACAGACTAAGATAGATAGATAGATATAGATAGATGATAGATATATATGAATAAACAGGTAGACAGATAGATATTAACAGACTAAGACAGACAGATAGATAGATAGATAATAGATAGATAGATAGATGAAGATAGATAATAGAATATGAATAAACATAGATATAACAGATAGAAATTAACAGACTAGAAGACAGATAGATACAGAGATAGATAGATAGATAGATAGATAGATAGATAGATAGATAGATAGAAAAAAAAGACAAATAAAGATACATATAAATAGACAAAGACAAACAGATAGATAGATATATAGATAGATAGATAGATAGATAGATAGATATTAACAGACTTAGATAGATAGATAGATAGATAGATAGATAGATAGATAGATAGATAGATAGATAGATAGATTATGTAATCACTTAATATTCAGTTACCTGGAAGCAAGTTTTAAACATGCCCCTTCACACATATTCATAAGTAAACACATGTCCTCTGTCACAGGTGATTTACATAGCTACACATAGTGAGATTCAAATTTTTAACATATATATATTCTCTCTTAATGTTTATGTCTCCAAATTATTTGCTTTGGTTTGGTTTGTTTTACAGCATATCAACCTCAATAGGTTATTTAATGGCGAAAAGATTTTTATTGCTGGTAATATTTTTTTCCAAAAATGTATTGCAAAAATGTACTACCAGTAATAATGTATTGTTGGTAATAATAAGAAGGAACGATTTTGAAATATTTACAAAATCCTAGAAAAATATGGATTTCTTACTTAGACTACAATCTCACTACACCTATATCAGATGATCTAATGAAAACACACATATTACACATACACACAAACATACACACACATACATTTATATATATATATATATATATATATATATATAATTTATTTTAAAAATTATAACATAAACATCTTTATAACATCAAATATAAAAAATTTTTTTTCAACACTTCTAGTGTCTTGTCAAGTGATTGTGTTGAATGTAGAATAAAGAATTTTAAAAGGTTCAAATTGTGTTTGGTTGATTTGAACCGTTTTAATATTACAAATTCTACATTCAACCTCATGAATTGATAATGTTTTAGAAGTGTTGAAACAAAATGATTATTTTATGATTTTTTAACATATATATGTTATAATTTTTGAATAAATAATATTTGCTCTGATCTGTATAGAGCACTCTTTTTAAGAATAGTATTTTCTGGTTCTTTGGAATTTATTCCGTATACACAAATCCTATACTTGTATATATATATATATATATATATATATATATATATATATATATATATATTTGTGTGTGTGTGTCTGTGTGTGTTGAAAAGTGTGTATATATAAATATAAATATAAATATAAATATATATATATATATATATATATATATATGTGTATTTGTGTAACATTATATATATTATTATTTATATATTATAAACAGTACTTATTGGAAAGTGCTCAATATCAAAGATGAGTTCATATATTTGGTTGGATTGATGTAAGTTTATCATCCTAGGTTTTCAAATCAATGATTGCAAAGCGCATAAATGTTAGGATAAATTCATCAATGAATAGATAAATATATAGATATATATATATATATATATATATATATATATATATATATATATATATTCATGTCTGTCTACCTGGATATCTGAGTCAGTTGATATCTATCTATCTGTCTATCTAATTACTCTATTACTTAATTCAAAATTAGTAAGAATGTGTAGCTTCATTATGGATAGATAGATAGATGTGAAAAGACTGATAGATAGATAGATAGATAGATAGATAGATAGATAGATAGATAGATAGATAGTTTATGTAATCACTTAATGTTCAGCTATAACAGTAGCCTTATGTTGAAATTAACCCAAATTTCATTTATTAGTTTGTTTATAAATTTACCAATTTAACTATTGATTTCAATATTTTTGAAACTTCCTCATGCATTAGTAAATAAAAAAAAACATCAATGAAAATCTGTTTCTGAATCCAAAAGACTTGCCAGTTATTTTGATATAGTGACAGATACTGGAAGTTTTAAACTTGCTCCTTCGCACATATTCATAATTAAACAGATGTCCTCTGTCGTAGGTGATTTACATAGCTACACATAGTGAGATTCAAATTTTTAATGTCTAGATTCTCTCTTAATTTTTGTCTCCAAATTATTTGCTTTGGTTTGGTTTGTTTTGCCTTACGGCATATCAACGCCTCAATGGATTATTTAATGCTGACAAGATTTTTATTGCTGGTAATATTTTTTCCCAAAAATGTATTGCTGCTAATACTTTTTCTTTCAAAATTGTATTGCTGGTAATATTTATTTTCTTCAAAAATGTATTGCCGGCAATAAGTTTTCCTCAAAAAATTTATTGCTGATATTAAAACCTATTTTTACACTTTCATAATGTTTTGACTCCAGTTTGGCTGTTAACTATTTTCCCATAGCTTGGACCCTAACAGGTGCTACTACCCCAGATCAGGGTGGATCTGTGAACACCAGCAATTCAGAGGTGGTTCCATGCTCCTCAAAACCTCCTGATGAGAGGCCTTGCTGTCGGATGTAGTTTATCGTCATACACAGCACAGCAAATCATTTGTCTATAAAATTAGGAACCAATTTTCTCTTTTTTTTATTTATTTGAATATTTTTTGCAATGGTTTTAATCCTGCAAGCAAATTAATAAACATGTCTTCTGTAGTTTTCTAATGTTTTTAAATTGACTCGCACAAATCTTTGAAATCCATGACTCCATGAGCCAAAAAATAAATATTTTTGAAAAGATAAATAAACTTACATTCTCTCATAAGATTTAAATTAATTTGTTTACCTTTTTCTACACAGTTTTAATTCATTTAATTATCCCCCTAATTAAACAAGTTATTATAATTACTTATAAATGCAATGAAAATACACAAGAATTATTTGTGTGCATAGTGTGCTAATTATAATGCAAAAGTATTTGCCATCAAGTGTTAAATTAACCTGAGTTTTTAAATAATTATTGTGTTTATTGATTGAATTGTTTTGTTGTTAACCATTTGACTGACTTGTAACAACAGTAAATGCAAATATTTTTGTTGGACTGCTTCTATGATGACGAAGCATTATTATTGTTAAGATTTCAACCAGTTGAGGCTTGTTCTTTTACTTTAGCAAAGATTAACAATCACAAAATGTCATGTTTGCTTAATATTTGAAATAATATTTTGAGTCTGGAGCCTTGAAGAAAGCATGTAAAAAAAACAAAATTTTTCTGCCAACATTCTAGAAAAAAACTTTACAGGTAATAAAACTTAATTTATTTTTGTTTGTGTTTGTTTTTTTTTTCACAATCCACAATTAAAATTATCTACAATAACAAAAACAAAACCAAACAAATGTCAGACATGTTTGTTTTTTTTTTTAAGTGTCTATCTTGAGAACACTCTTACAGGTTTATAATAACTAAAATAAAAGACTTATAAATGTTTCTATGAAAGTTTCTTCTCTTTAAGTTTATTTTTTATTTAGACTTGGAAATATTACCTGAGATAAAAAAAAAATGGGATTTGGTGGTTAGTTCAGTTCTAAAATGGACAGAATTTGGATCAAACCCCTCTGAAAAAAAATGGGGAAAATATCAAAATGTTTCTAAGTTTTATAAAATCTGCAAAATTCTGAGTTTCAAGGACAAATTTAGAGAAAAAAATTTCAGAAAAAAATAAAACAAAGAATTTTAGAAATCCAAAGAATTTTCGTTCTATTCAAACTGTTTAAAGAAAGCACATACAAATTGAAAAAGAGTTTTTTTTTTATTTTACATTTAAAATAAGAATGAAATTAATAAAACTTTAGTAAAATTCAAGTGAAAACTTAAATTAAACTGAGAAATTTGATTCTGTTTTAACAAGTACAGCCTCTATTATTTTGAGAAAAAAATTGAATTTTTGCTTTTTCATTTTTTCTGTCATACGCTTTTCTGAGTAGAGAAAAAGAGAACAGATTCTGAAACATGACAAATTGATGTTTACTTAATTCAAATTTAGTAAGAATGTGTAGCTTCATGACAGATAGATAGATAGATAGATAGATAGATAGATAGATAGATAGATAGATAGATAGATAAATAGATAGATAGAAATAGACCTCGATAGATAGATAGAAATAGACCTTGATAGATAGATAGATAGATAGATAGATAGATAGATAGATAGATAAATAGATAGATAGATAGATAGATAGATAGATAGATAGATAGATATGAATAGACCTAGACAAATAGATATGAACAAACTGTGATAGATAGATAGATAGATAGATAGATAGATAGATAGATAGATAGAAAGAAATGAATAGACTGAGATAGATAGATAGATAGATAGATGGATAGATAGATAGATAGATAGATAGATAGATAGATAGATAGATAGATATGAATAGACCTAGACAAATAGATATGAACAAACTGTGATAGATAGATAGATAGATAGATAGATAGATAGATAGATAGATTATGTAATCACTTAATGTTCAGCTAAAATAGTAGCCTGATGTTTAAATTAACCCAAATTTCATTTATTACTTTGTTTATAAATTTACCAATTTAACTATTGGTTTCAATATTTTTGTAACTTCCTCATGCATTAGTAAATAAAAAAAAAACATCAATGAAAATCTGTTTCTGAATCCAAAAGACTTGCCAGTCATTTCAATATATTGACGGATACTGGAAGTTTTAAACTTGCTCCTTCACACATATTCATAAGTAAACAGATGTCCTCTGTCGTAGGTGATTTACATAGCTACACAGAGTGAGATTCAAAATTTTAACGTCTAGATTCTCTCTTAATTTATTTCCAAATTATTTACTTTGGTTTGTTACGGCATATCAACACCTCAATGGATTATTTAATGCCAACAAGATTTTTATTGCTGCTAATATTTTTTCCAAAAATATATTGTTTATAAATTTTTTCAAAAATGTATTACAAAAATGTATGAATAGACCTAAATAGATATATAGATATGAATAGACTGTGATAGATAGATAGATAGATAGATAGATAGATAGATAGATAGATAGATAGATAGATAGATAGATAGATATGAATAAGATAGATAGATATGAATAGACTGCGATAGATAGATAGATTAATATGAATACCCTGAGATAGATAGATAGATAGATAGATAGATAGATAGATAGATAGATAATGTGAAGGTTAAAATACAGGTATAAATAATAAACCTTCCGAAGAGCTACAAATGATGGGTAATTGTGGAGATCCATAATTACCCTCGGCCTAAATGATTTTGCTTTAAAAATATTTTTTTGATTAACCACCTCATAGTGGGTAATTTTTCTTTCTTATCCTTGATATTTCTCCTTTGTTTTAATATATTTGCATGTATTATGTGAATATATATTCTTTTAAAATGTCCATTTATAGAGCCATAAACAATCTTGCTTCTCAGTTTAGTAAATATCTCTAATTAAAATTATTGACATTCATTTAGTTCGCTATGTAGATCTTGATTTCCAGTTGAAAACATGAGTAAAACCATTCTTCCTTATATTAAGATATTTATACACTGTAAAATCTGAGAATTTGAATACAGGAAGACTATATGGCACTGAGCAAATATTTTTTACTTCAGCAGCCATCATTAACCAAAATCTGTGGCTATAGTGTTTTCAGGGTCTTAATCCTGGTAACACTCACACAGGCAACCCCACACAAGGCAATGAAGATGTCAAAGTGAGTAAGTGTTAGATTCTGTCAATGTGTACAAAGCCATATTTATAGCATTTATCAAGTTTAGTTTAGAATGTCACAAATCCATGTTTATAGAACACAAAAGACCAGAGAATGCATTTATGTAAGAAATATATAAATATTTTTTATTTTTATCCCATTTAGAGAGATGTTAGACATGTTAGATATGGAAAGTATTTTGACAATATGCAAGTTTTTAATCTTATTTAAATAATCTGTGAGGGGTACAAATTTTATCATGGCTTTAAAAATGGACATTTTAAAAAGAGACTATATTCACATAATATATACAATTATATTAAAACAAAAGAGGAGGAAAAACAAGGATAAGAAAAAATGTATTACTCATGGTAAAGTGGTGAAGTAAAAAATACATAAAAAAAGAAACAAAAAGAATGCTTAACCGGTTATCACTCCTCACTCTTCAGAGCTCAGCCAAAGAGCAGAAGGATCTTCAGTGCATAATTGTTCTTTATTTAGTGATTTCCTTCCTACCTATAATACTAGTATTTTTTTGTTTTAATAAAATATTCCTCCTTCTTTCAAAATACAAAATATCAACATTGTTTTCATTATTTTTTAACCCCAAAGCTACCTTTTAACATGTAACATTTTTATCATTTTTAAATAAAAAAAAAACAATGTTGCCAGATTTTTATAATTTCAAATGTTCTTTTCACAACAATTATTTCTTTGCAATTCATTTCATTTTTTTTTTGTTTTCCTATGCCAAGAAATTTAAAACTTTTTTTAATATTTTTTATTAAACTATAGAAAATTTGGATATATGAATAAAAAAACAATAAAATTATTTTGAATTTATTCAAATGATAATTAAAGACATCAGTATCTTCCATCTTAAAACATAATAACCAATACAACAAAACAAAATATAAATAAACCTTTTATTTTATTGGGAGTAGATTTATATTATTCCATCCTCACTCCTCCCCAGTCTTTTGAAAGAGGCTTTTCCCTTGTTTGCTGTTTAGGACTGGGTTTCCAGTTCCTTTTAAAATCTACCTCAAGTCTATACTTCTAATTTCCCTGCCTAAACTCTGAAATTTCATTTACTATTTATTTTATTTTTTTCCTTCAATAGGAGTAACTAGGTTTGCCTATTGTCCACTTCACACTCCTTCCTGTTTCTTTGAACAGGAGTAGAGGATTATCCCTTGATTCCTGTTTAGGATTGGGTTTCAGGATCATTCTAAAGTCTTCTCATTCTTTCACTCTCATTAGCCCCTTGAGTCTTAGTGACATTATTGCCTTGCTTGGGGTGAATTTATGAAAAAATAAAAACTCAGAAAATACAATTATTTAAATGATTTTATAATATATTTGGCAGAATTTCAAGAAAAAATTTTGATTGAAAATTGTCAAATGACAACTAAAAAATTTTAACTTGGAAAATATAATTATTTAAATGATTTTATAATATATTTGGCAGCATTTATAGAAAAAATTCCAATTGAAAATTATCAAATGACAGCTAAAAAATTTTAACTTGGAAAATATAATTTAAATGATTTTATAATATATTTACGAGCATTTCAAGAAAAAATTTTGATTGAAAATTGTCAAATGACAACTAAAAAATTTTAACTTGGAAAATATAATTATTTAAATGATTTTATATGTTCGACAACCTATCAAGAGAGAACTTTGATTGAAAAATTGTCAATTAAAAATTTTTAACTGAGAAATTATAATTATTTAAATGATTTTAAAATATGTTTGACAATCTTTCAAGAGAGAATTTTTGATTGAAAAATTCTCAAATAAAAATTTTTAAATGAGAAAATATGATTATTTAAATGATTTAATACAATCAACATTTCAAGAGAAAATTTTAATTGAAAAATTGTCAATTAAAAATTCTTAGCTCAGAAAATATAATTATCTAAATGTTTTTATAATTGATAATCTTTTAAGAAGAAATTTTGATTGAAGATTGTCAGATGACAATTAAAAACTAGGAAAATATAATTTTAACTAGGATAATAATTATTTTGAATGATTTTATATTTCACCACTTAAACATGAACCCCTGTGGCAGCTTGTATATAATAACATAAATTGTTAAAATTAGATTTAATCATTACATCTTATAAACAAAAAAACAATGAGTAAATTATGTATATATATATTTTTAAAATGGACAAAGTTTTATGACACTTTTTTAATAAATTTTTTTATGTCTATATAAATTTTTTTATATATTTAAAATATTTAATAAATTTAGGTAAATGTTATCTTGTTTAAATAAACAGTATTAACAACATTTACCAGCCTGAATGTCCGAGAAATTGTCATAATGAAAAATATTTTCTTTATCCGAACAAATTTTGAACCTGTATCCTATATGGAACCAAATCATATAATTTTGTGTACAGTTTTTACCGATTTGCCATGGTGGATCAATTTTGTTTTAAAGCAAATATTTTTTTACTTAAATATTTATATCTATAAAAAAGAATGTATAAACAAATTTTATCTTAAAATAATTAAATGACTTAATGTCATTTAAAATTTGTGACTTCATTTGTTTACATAAATATATAAACATGAGCAGATATGAATGTACATGAAGAGAAAATGGAAGATAGTTTAAAGACAGAAAAAAAAAAAAAATACAATTTTTTTAAATGAAAAAAAAATTTTTTTAAATGCAAATAATTAAATTTTAATAATTTTTAGTTACAAAAAAAAATATAAATAAAATGAGATTATGAATTTAACCATTTTTTAAATAAAATTTTTAAATAAAAAAAATTGATGAATCCTTATCAGTCAAACCAAATTTCAAAAAAAAATCTTTACATTGAATAATTTTTTTTTAAAAAAACACAATTAATTATTTAAAAATTTTTTTTGTAACAAATTTTTATATACAAAGAAAAAAATGTTGTTGGTTTTAGAAAAATTTATTAAATTGCCTTGAAATGTTTAAAAAATTCATGAGGTTTTGAAATTTATATTTTTTTTTGGAGGACATGAATTTCATTTCAATGTTTATTAGACTTTGTGATGTTTTGAAATTTTTTTAATGCAAAAAGTTTAAAATTATTTTAGTTTGAGACTTAATATATTAAAAAAAATGAGATTATGAATTTAACCATTTTAAAAAAAAATTTTTAATTATTAATGGATGTGGTATAAACTTATCAAGTCATAACCAAATGTCAAAAAGCATCAGACATTGAATATAAAACACAAAAAATTTTAACAATTATAATAAAGGATTTTAATTAATAATAAATATTTATATATACAAGAGTTACAAAAATGTTTTTTTTTTTACAAATTTTTTTTAAATTTAAGAAACTTTAAATATTCAGCAGATTAGTTGAAAAGTCTAGAAAATATGGAGGATGCTAAATAAACACCATTCAATCGACAGCTTTGACTAAATAATGTTCTTGAAATTTTTTTATTTTTTAAAAATACAAATTACTATTTAAATTATTTTAGTTTGAGATAAATTTTAAATAACACGAGGTTATGAAGTTAAAGTTTTATTTTAAATTTTTAACATTTTCGTTGTCATGTATTTTTTTTTTGGAAAAGGAGTAATTCTTTCAGGAATGGAGATATTTGAAAAAAATCCAGCGCATAGATTTATGTTTTGAAATATAAGATTCAATAGTGATTTTTTGAGAATTAATGTTTTAGTTATATTTTGGATTTTGAGACTTAAATTTTCCAAATGAATTCTGTTCTTTGAATTTTTTTTTTCTTTAGCTGTTGATTGTTAAAAAAAATATTAATGCAGATTTATATTTTGATAAATTTTGACCAATGATGAATATTATGTTTTTTTTTTTTTTTTTGCTCCTTGATAATGTTTTATTAAAATTTTCACTTTTCAGTAACCTCATGCATCTTAGTTTTTTATTTATTATTTTATATATATAAATGCAATGTATATATATATATATATATATATATATATATATATATATATATATGCACATTTCATTGAATACGACAGACAAAAGGTGATTTTTATTTAGTTTTTTTTATACAATTTCTCATGCGATCTAATTTTTTTTTCTTTTCAGATGATAAATTATATAAAAACTGTTTGAATGTTCTTTTTTTATCTGAGTGCTTTCAGCTATACATTTAGCCATTTTCAAGGATTAAATATTTTTTAACTGTTAAATAAGAAATAGTTTGTTGCATGTATGTTTTATAAAATGTTTTTCATTTCAAAAAACACGGTCAAAATATTGTGTCCATGTTCAAAGTTAATATTATTAAGTGTTTGTTTTTTTTTTTTTATTAATAAGGCTTCCATTATTTTTATCCTTTTTTTTTTTTTTTTTGCATGTAGATGATGCGATTATATTAGTGTTGTCAACAAGTATGTTACGAATAGTGTCTGGTAGGTTCCATGAATATTTAAATGAGATCTAATTGAGCTATGGTCAGAAAGGTGTAGAGTGAGTCTGCATGTCAAACAACCATAATTATTTGAAATTTTGATGGACACAATTCAATAATATATTATTTAATATTTGCCCCTTTTAATTGCATTTTATAAAACATACATACAATAAACTTTTTTAATATTTTTTAACAGTAAAAATATTTAATCCTTTAAAATGGCTTAATGTATAGCCGAAAGCGCTCGGATAAAAAGAACATTCAGACAGTTTTTATATAATTTATCATCCAAAAAGAAAAAAATTATTAGATCGCATGAGAAATTGTATAAAAAACTAAATAAAAGCACCTTGTCTGTCGTATTCAAGGAAATGTGCATGAAAGATATATATATATATATGTAGTCCTATGATACCTTTCAATTCTTCTCCATCTCGTACAATATACAAGTAGATTTGTCTTGAAGACTAATTTTTACATTTTTTGAAATTTTCCTCAATTTTTGATCATTTTTAAAGACAATGCAAACCTTGCAATTACCAAAATAGAATCCATTTAATAAGACCTATTTTATATATCTGGCTCTCTTGTAGTAAAAACATTTCACTATATTACAAATCATTTTTAAGCAGTTAATTTATATTTTTGTTTTTAAACCTGACCTGATTTCTTATTGCAATAAATGTGATTTTTAGTGGGTAACATCTCTGCTATTTTTATTATTTAAATTAATGTCAACCAGCCTAGAGACTGAGAAGTCTTACAAAAGAAAAGGTGCCTTCTAACAGGAATTAAACCTGTATTCCCTTTTTCCATCAGTTTTCCCTTACCAATTAAGCCATAGGAAATCATCACGCAATATTGTCAACAGTTACAGAAAGTTGGAGTTACTCTTTTCTATTTTCCTTAAAACTTTGGTATAAAAAGGTATGGGAGAATTTTATCTGCTCTTTTAAAATAAAAAGATAAGTAAGTCTTATATGACAAACTAATAAGGCATTTATTTCTTGTCCATCTTATCATAATTTGACAAGTTACGTATTAAAGTTGATATTTAAAAACAAAATGCTTAAAACCATATCGGATTGAAACACTGATTCTCATATGACTACCAAATTTAAGCAGCATTGAGCCAGGTAGATAAATAACCTCTTGTGGAATATCAGGCGCTGTAAGCTTGGATGTGTGCGGGCCGTGTAATGGACAATAACTTGCAATTGGAAATCAAAGAGACAAGATAAAATTGCTGTCAGATTTGTTATATTCAATTACATGCAAATGCCCATGGGAAAGGTATGAATACACCTCTTCTCTCCCCAGATAAGGGTTAATTAGTTGGACATGTGTCATATGCCCTTACCTATAACTACAGAATGAACTCTTCCTAACACTGTGTATACTATATATAGGGTCGAATCGAGTCGAGCCGATAGTAGTTCACTCCAAACCAAACTGACAGTTATACTAACACCTTCCACATCTTGTATTATTAGTTCGTGTAATATACCTTCGTTATTTCTACACTTGTGTTCATGTTGTTCTTCCTTGGTCCTAACATGAGCCATAACAAATAATAATAATAATGTCATGGGTTCTTACCTATAACTACAGAATGAACTCTTCCTAACACTATGTATACTACGCCTCTCAAGAGAGAGGGTCGAATCGAGTCGAGCCGATAGTCGTTCACTCCAAACCAGACTGACAGTCATACTAACACCTTACACACCTTGTATTATTAGTTCGTGTAATATACCTTCATTATTTCTACTCTTGTGTTCGTGTTGTTCTTCTTTGGTCCTAACCTGGACCATAACAACTTGTATCAGTAAATCATTATTATCCCCCAAAAGTTCTTCTAATCTAAAATTATTTTCTGGCTTTGAATTACCAGCAAAAGTTTGATAACCTATAAAAAAAACAAATCAATTCTTTTTAAAAAATCTATAGATTTTCTGTGGTTAAAAATAATTAATTATAGTTAATTATAATTGTAGCGTATAACTGGTAAATTGTCGCCATTTTATATTTTTAATTTTACGCATGTACATTCTTTGTTTTTGAATTTGTCAACTGCAGCGTATAATAGTGTCAGTTGGGCAATGTCTGTGAGAAAAAGATCACAATGATACAATTCACTCTGCCAGAAATTTGGAAACAGTATGCTGTTCTGCTTGGCAATTGGGCAGGGGGTTCCAATATGAACATTTCAGAGTGTTCTGGTTTCAATCTGAGGACAATGCAGAAGGCTCAGAAAGAGTTGGATGAGTCTAATGGTGATTACGAAGGTACAGCAGCTCGGAAAACTCACCTTGATCGTTCTGACAAGAAAAGAACACCTGAATTTATTGGTGAGGATTTCAAACTTAACATGAAGGACTACATCAAGAGCCGTGAGGAGGTAGTATTGCCCTGGGTCAAGGGGGTGGCTGTTGGAAGACCCTATGTCTGGCAACAGGACACTGCACCATGTCACACAAGCAGGACAGCCTAATCATGACTGTCAGGCAATTTTTGCGCCCCCCACCTTACATCTGGCCACCTAATTCCTCAGACTGCAACTCCCTTGTTTATTATGTGTGGGGCACAGTTGAACAAGAGACCAACAAAACCCCTTGTAGCACCAAAGATGAAGGCAAAGATTACGGCAGCATACATCGTCCAGAAGAGTTGCAGGAGATTCCGAAGTCGTCTGAAACCAATGACAATTTTATTGAGCAAATTTACTCTTTAGTATTTCAAGATATTTTTGTGTAATTTTGGTAAATAATACTTGTTAAAATGAGATGTCTGAGTTATTTTCATTTTTGCGGCATTTAGACGACAATTTATCCATCGCACTCTATATATTTCAGCAATTTATTTACCTTTAAAAAAAAAGACAAGAAATATATTCTTAGTACATCAATTCTTCTCAGCCTGTGAACGTCTGTTGTTGGACGCACGTATCCCGCAAATTCATAGGTCGGAATGGGCCATTGCCCCACTGTGTCGGCTCAGTGCGCTTTGATAGGGGCATATGTGACAAGGATCGAGCAATCATGTCTCTTTTAGATTCATGATCGGCCAAGGGTATTTGTACGTAAATTAATGTAACAAACCCGACTGTAATTCAAACTCTCCAGTTTCTCATCTCGAGCCATTATTCATTACATTAGACGCACATCCAAACTTACACTTATGGTATTCCTAAGCGGTCACCCATTTAGATACTGGCCAGGCTCGGCGTTGCTTAACTTCGGTGGTCGTACACGAACTGGTGCTCCAACGTGATATGGCCATAAGTCGTGACGTCTCCTCATCTAAACTTATAGCACCTGGTATTCCCAGGCGGTCACCCAATTAGTTACTGACCAAGCTAAATGTTGCTTAACTTTGTTGATCGTACGGGAAGTGGTGCTTCAACGGGATATATCCATAAGCAATGACACTTTGCACATCCAATGTTACAGCACCTGGTAGATAAAAGGCGGTCACGCATTTAGTTACTTGACCAAAGCTTAAACGTTTCTTAACTTCGGTTATCGTACGGGAAGTGGTGTAAAATTCAACGTGATATGGCCATAATAATGACGCCTGTACATTCAATCTTACAGCACCTGGTATTCCCAGGCGGTCACCCATTTAGTTAATGACCAGGCTAAACGTTGCTTAACTTTGTTGATCATACGGGAAGTGGTGCTTCAACGTGATATAACCATAAGCCATGACACCTGCACATCCAATGTTACAGCACCTGGTATTCCCAGGCGGTCACCCAATTAGTTACTGACCAAGCTAAATGTTGCTTAACTTTGTTGATCGTACGGGAAGTGGTGCTTCAACGGGATATATCCATAAGCCATGACACCTGCACATCCAATGTTACAGCACCTGGTATTCCCAGGCGGTCACGCATTTAGTTACTGACCAAGCTAAACGTTTCTTAACTTCGGTTATCGTACGGGAAGTGGTGCTTCAACGTGATATGGCCATAAGCCGTGACGCCTGTACATTCAATCTTACAGCACCTGGTATTCCCAGGCGGTCACCCATTTAGTTAATGACCAGGCTAAACGTTGCTTAACTTTGTTGATCATACGGGAAGTGGTGCTTCAACGTGATATAACCATAAGATTGATCAACATCCAATGTTACAGCACCTGGTATTATTAGGCGGTCACCCAATTAGTTAATTAAAGCTAAATGTTGCTTAATATTTATTGATCGTACGGGAAGTGGTGCTTCAACGGGATATATCCATAAGCCATACATTATGCATATAACGTTACATATACCTGGTATTCCCAGGCGGTCACGCATTTAGTTACTGACCAATAAACGTTTCTTAACTTCGGTTATCGTACGGGAAGTGGTGCTTCAATATATAATATATAAAGCCGTGACGCCTGTACATTCAATCTTACAGCACCTGGTATTCCCAGGCGGTCACCCATTTAGTTAATGACCAGGCTAAACGTTGCTTAACTTCGGTTATCGTACGGGAAGTGGTGCTTCAACGTGATATGGCCATAAGCCGTGACGCCTGTACATTCAATCTTACAGCACCTGGTATTCTCAGGCGGTCACCCATTTAGTTAATGACCAGGCTAAACGTTGCTTAACTTTGTTGATCATACTGTTCTCTCCATTTGGTGCTTCAACGTGATATAACCATAATTCCATGACACCTGCACATCCAATGTTACAGCACCTGGTATTCCCAGGCGGTCACGCATTTAGTTACTGACCAAGCTAAACGTTGCTTAACTTCGGTGATCGTACGGAAGTGGTGCTTCAACGTGATATGGTCCATTAAACAATTGAAATGTACATTCAATCTTACAGCACCTGGTATTCCCAGGCGGTCACCCATTTAGTTAATGACCAGGCTAAACGTTGCTTAAAATTTTATCGTACTAATAGTGGGGCTTCAACGTGACATGGCCATAAGTCGTAACATTTTGTACATTCAATCTTACAGCACCTGGTATTCCCAGGCGGTCACCCATTTAGTTAATGACCAAGCTAAACGTTGCTTAACTTCGGTGTTCATACGGGCAGTGGTGCTTTAACGTAATATGACCATAAGCTATGCCATCTGCACATCTCTTTAACTTCAGATTGGACGAGAACCTGTGTTTTAACGTGACATGACCTTAAGAATACCATGGACAGAGCATGCGAGTAATGAGCAAGTTTTAAGGAAAATGGGTACAAAAAGATTATTGAAATTTCTAGAACACAAAATGATCAGGTGTGACGTTGCTTAACTCTTGTTGATCGGACGAGAACTGGTGTTTGAACGTGATATGGCCGTAAGCAGCAGATAAATTATTAAATGGAGGAAAAATATAGGGACTGAATTTTGAAGTTATTTTAATTACAATTCATTTTATTCTTTGTTTTCAGCATTGGAATATTTTCATTGTCCTGAATGTCAACTTGAAGTCTGAGACACAAAGACATAATCAGAAGGAAAGGAAGAAAGAAAACAAAAACAAGAAAATCATGAGGAAATTACCAAACACTGCTCTTGTCACATTCTGAGGATTGTCACACCTACTTTCTGGAACGAGAAGTGCCAAGCTGGTCAGATGAAAGAAATGTTTAATTACTGAGGTCTGGGACTATTTTCATGTGAATTATGAACACCTTTACCTGTCTGTGGACAAAGACAAACGTCAAGTAATTTTCGGTATTGCAAGATTTACAGTGTCTCCCAAAAGAATTGTTCTGAAATGCCTGCGGCGAAAACAACTCTTGAAATCTCACAGGTAAGCAGAAAAAGATTCTTCATATTTAGAAATCAAATCTAATTATTTTGGGTCATCACACACACACACACACACACACACACACACACACTGGTTTCAGCTCCTCGGCTCCAATACCACTTCAGAATTTTGGAAATGAAGACACAAACACAGTTTTAAATTCTTCCTTATAAGTGTTATATATGTATATATATATATATATGTTAAGAAATGGACAAGGTCCGACAATTTATTTATTAAAGACATTTTTATTTATGTTTAACGTTGTTATTTTATAGATACAAGTATTTAAGCAAATGCTCTGTTTAAGATAAACAGTATTAAATAACGTTTACCGGCCGAGTGGTTAAGGCATGTCAGCGTATATGACAGTTCCGTATAGGATGCAGGTTCGAATCCTGTCTATGAACGAATATTTTCTATGAAAATTTCTCGGACATTCAGGCCGGTAAATGTTATTTAATACTGTTTATCTTAAACAGAATTTGCTTAAATACTTGTATCTATTAACAACGTTAAACATAAATAAAATGTCTTTAATATATATATATATGTGTGTGTGTGTGTTTTGTATGTAAATTACTTGATACGTTGTTTGCCTTTTGTTTTCTTTTTTTTTTTTCTTTTTTAAGCGTTTTCCCCAACAAGGCTGGAAGCCACTATCAAAGGGTTACAGAAAATTTGGAGCAAGAGCAGATCAATATGATAGAAGAAAGGATGAGGAGAAGAGTAGTGGATAGATCAAGGCAACTGGAGATGTTGATTGACATTACATTTGAATAGTTGGAGATTATAGCTCTCAGGGAAACTGGAATAGGGAGGCTTATCAGACAATATGAAAGGAACTTACTTAAAATAAAATCGACAAAATTTGTCCATATTATTTAATGAAACATGCATTAATGAAAAATTGCTGCCGAAATATACACAAACACACACACACACACACACACACACATATATATATATATATATATATATATATATATATATATATATAGATAGATAGATAGATAGATAATGTCAATGGTTTCTCTAACTGGAACGTTAGTGAACAGATTTTCTTTATTAATTTATTTATAACTTTTCTAAATTACAAAACAAATAGTTACAAATCAAAATTTGTTTGGTTATAGTCTAAGGGTGATAACTCACTCACTTTGTGACATCAAACAGATATTTTGAAGTTTTTTATTTTTTGTCCTCACCTTGTTTTTCCAGTACTTTCTTTTGTATTATTATTTGTTTGAAGATCCTTGTAATGATCACTAATTAGTTTCTTTCTCAAAAGTCTATTTCCAAAACCTGAAAATGAAATATGTTTCCTATTTCTTCGTAAATTCCCTTGATTAGTTGTTCCAGACAGCAAGTCAGCAGACACTGACACTTGGTCGTATGATTAGTTTTATCAGTATCTGCTGACTTGACCGTTCCTTCAGAGTTCCAATATTTCTCTTTATCTAATTTCATTCTAACTCTATCTCCTCTAAATTTCTAATACCGTTGAATCTGTTAAAATTCTTTTCCATTCTGCTTTATACCAGTTTATCTCTCTTTCTCTCCCTGATTTCCGTGAAATCGGACCATTTTGGTAATAAACTTTTTGGATGTAAAGGTAATGTGGTTCTTATTTTCGTTTCCATAATTAATTCTGTGGGACTGACAACTGTGGCTTGAATTGGCGTACTCTGGTATGCCATTAATGCTTTAAATGTGTCTGATTTTTCCAAAATTCTCTTAGCTATTTCAACAGCGCTTTCCGCTTCTCTATTTGCTTGAGGATAATGTGGATTTGATGTTATGTCTTTAAATCCATAACTGTCTACAAAATCTTTGAAAGCGTAACTTAAGAATTATTTCTCACCATTACTGACAAGTACAATAGGAATTCCCCAACGGGAAAAGAAATTTTTCAACTTCCCTATAACGCATTCGCTTGTCATTAGATTAAGCTTTGCTATTTCTATATATCTTGAGAAATAATCTATTGCGGTAATATATTGCTGTCCTTAGTGAGTGAAAATGTCTGTACCAATTCTTTGCCATGGACCCTGAGGAAGTGGTGTTATTTTTTTTTTTTTTTCTTCTTATTAGTTGGACAATGTATGTTACAAAACGAGCATTTTTTTTCAGATACTCCTCTATTTCTTGTGATATTTTCGGCCATCACACCGATTCTTTGTCTCTCTCTCTCTCTCTCTCTCTCTCTCTCTCTGCATTTGTTTAGTCTCAAATGACCATTACGAAGTTTCCTTAATATTTCTGGTCGAAGTTTGTCAGGTATGACAATTCTGTCCTGAAACCATAGTAAATTGGCATGAACTGACGATTCATTCCGATATGGAAAATATGGCGTTATGCCTTCTTTTATTCTTCCATCTTTGTGTGTCCATCCATTCAGTGTGAGCGGCATTATTTCCTGTAATATAGTGTCCTGTTGAGTAGCTATTTTTATTACATTTAACTTCTTATCCGATGCTGATTTGGTCATTGCCACGCGGTCTGTGTATACGCCCACACCTGGCATTACTATCAATGTTGGATAAAGGACTTCTTGATAGCGTATCAGGTACAACTAGTACCCTTCCATGGAATGTGTTCTGCTACTGGGTTATATCTTCTCAGTCTCATCTTTGACATTGTAATGAGGTATTGTACAGATCATGTGTGTTTATTAATGATTTATAGTTCATTAACAGTATTAACATTACTATTGTCCTCATCTTTGTCGCCATGTTTATCACAACACTTCCGGCTGCGGTGGTTAGAATATCGAACTGAACCCTTTATTTCGCTCATTGGGGTAGACTGTTCTAGTTCCATGTGCCATGTCTAATGCATGTCAGTTATCTCCTGTTAATTCCCCTCTGAAAGTTCTTCACCGCTTTAACCAGGTCTTGAACTCACACTCTTTGGGTCCTGTCACTGGATCTAACTAACTTCTTTATCCACTGTGCCATGTGTCCTTGAGAACATCTGTGTATGAATTTATGGGTATTATAAAACTAATGTCTTCAGCAACTATTTTTACCAGTGCTCATATTGCAATTTTTGCTGTTATCATAGCATTTTTTTTTTTTTTTTTACCAGAGATCATATTGCAATTTTTGTTATTATCGCTTTTCTCTGGCACTCCTTATTACTGGTTCCCATATTGTATTCATTTCTATGCTTGGTCGGCTCATTAACAGTATAAAGGAATTCAGTGCAGTGACATATCTTCAAACTTCTCACACAGAAGAGCTTAAACAGTGTTTCTCAGCGCTATTGAGCGAGTTTGAGGTAAATGCTATTACTTTTAAATTTCCATTTATTTCTTCAAATAGAGATGCTCTGAGGCTATAACTGCTAGCGTCAGCGCTAACAACTGTATAGTCTGTTTGGATTATAGTACAATAGAATTGGTGCGTGTGTTAGTAATTCCTTTACTCTTTTACAAGTATTCGCTTGTAGGTAACCCGACACAAATACAGTATTCTTTTTCAATAATTCGGTCATTAGTTGTATTGTTTCAGACAAGTTTAGTAAGAATTTTACCATCCCAATTTTGACATCGTGTTCCACTGGAGTTAGGATGGAAATACATATTATATTAGACTAGCCGCTGAAAATAAGCAACGCAAAAACAACACGACACGTAGTAAACTCAACAACGTATTTTATTTAAATTGCCCGCTGGATCTGTCTTGATCCCAGCATTCCCTAGTGGGCCACGGAAGTCCTTGTTGTAATTTTGGGTAACTTTTAGTACTAGTGAGCTAGCCAAAATGAGCCGACTCCTTTTATAGTCCACCAAGAGAAGGGTTAACCAATCAGAAAGCTCGAAATATTCAATCCGACGTGTATGAAGGCAGCCATTTTATTTTTTCTCTCAAAATATCTTCACTGTCAACCTCTGATATCGAAGACTTGAAGAATTACTTAACAGCTGTTACTTTCTCCGAATCTTCACTGCCAACCTCTGATATTGAACACATTACGTACTTCACCGGATTCTATATTCAGAGACTACGGCAAACATGGCTAACAGTCCTTACAATCGTCATCATCATTATTATCATTATGGATGTTGTTATGATAAGGGTATAGCGGAAATGTACAGCTTTTTGAAGTAATTCTTATGACTCCTGTATTTAAAAGACTTCCAAACTAGGGAGGTTATAGCATGATCTGCATGCAATGATATATACAAGATCTGGATATCGCAATTGGACAGAAAACTCCAGATCAAAATATTCAGAGCCGCTGCTGAGCTGATTCTACTCAACGGTTCAAAGACAACGACACTTAGGCAAAAGGGAAACGTCTGGATCGAACCTACACCCGACTCTTCTGATGAGAGCTCAAAACCTATCTTGGAAGCACCATCTGACCATCCACCATCTCTACAGCAGTCTTCCTTGTGTTTCCCCGTCTCATACGAGCTCGTCGAGCACAGTGTGCCATCCACTGCCACCGTGCCGAAGATTAGGTTGACTCCTCTCTCCCACACTGGAAGCCTGCATCAAACCTGACCAGGAGCAGAAAACTATCATTCCCTGACGTCATCTCAAGGGATGCAGGCATTGATAGGCAGGACTTGGGGACAGCAATGAAGAACCGGGAGGTCTGGTTTCGTGTTGGGGACTCCATGATTTTGACTGCGGTTGACGCATCATGATGACGTTAACGTATTTAAAGTTAATATATTTTCTAATAAATTTAGTATTTTAAATGGGCAAACAATTTGACCACCTTGACGTCTGCAAAGACACAGATACCGAAATAGTAAAGTATAAAACAAAGAACTCCTCAAAACTTTAGAAAGTCTTGATTTACACATAAAATATATTCTATAAGCTGTACTGAGAAGTGGCATCTTGCATGTGGATATGGAATTCAACAAAAATGGTAAGACGAATACAATAAGGATGCGTTTGTGCATTGTATTTATTAAATTTGTACAGTTTGGTGAGTTTATAAAGTCACCAGGAGTTTTTTTTTTTTTTTTCGTCGAGGTCACCATTTTTAGAAAATTCAGTCATCCAGGTTTTTTATATTAAAAATCAGAACGCTCAAATTACAAACAATAATATATATATATATATATATATATATATATATATATATATATATATATATATATATGAATATTTTGAATGAAAACTCAAACATTTTTAGGCATTTTAAACAACATTCCTGACCGCACACACAATTCTGTAAAATACTTGTCGAAAACACAATTATACTTCGACATGAAAACAACAGACAAAAACTAAAAATCCTTGAAGCATTATACATCAAACAGTTGAAACCCAACCTCAATTATGGAATCTCTAAAAATATTCTTAAATGTCTATAATTGTTAACAGAAGCCATTGGTTTATACCAACGGCTTTCCATACTTCATGCTTCTCCAATTCACTCTCGTGTGGTCATGTATGACATCATGAGATACGGTGCAATTTTCGCTTCTAGCGTCTTATATGCACGTGTGTATCGTTGCTTAGAAATCATCTATGTAAACAATGACAGACTATGATCACTATCTTGTCTGTATATTGCTTAATATGTTGTAATTGTCATCTTTGATAATGGCTTATGTAAGCCGAAAGCTTAGATTCTATTAAAAAAAATATGGATCAATATTGTGAATTTCTTTCTTCGTTCAACGATAATGTTATTAAACTTATCAGATGTTACGAAAAAAATTTACATAAAATAAATAGACCACATTTGTCTATATTATTTAATGAAACGTGTATGAATATATATATATATATATATATATATATATATATATATATATATATATATATATAAACATATATATAACATAAAAATATATAAAGAAAGGTATAAAGATAGTCTTCAGTTGAGAATTCTTCAAAATTTAGAAAAATATTTGAAAGAATCTAATGTTTTATTGTGTTTTAGGTATTTTTTACTGTATTCACTGCTCTTATTTTCTGATAATGTTGTGTACGGACGTCCGTATTTACAAAAATCGGCACGTTTATACATGCAAAAAAAAATCAAAATTTAAAAAAAATACTGATAGTCGTTGAATTGTAGTAAGATTTTTCATTTTATGATTACTAAATATAGTTATTTTTTCTTAATAACAATATCACCTAACTGATACAAATTAATACAAAATTTTGAAAGATTTAAAACTTTATAAATTATTGTAATTATTTTTTTTTAAAATAAGAACAATTCTTATAAAAATTTATTATTCTTCAAAAAACATCTTTTTTTTTTCTTAAGACAATAGTGTCAATATATCACATTCATAAAAGCAATTAAAAGATTTTCTAATTAAATAATCTGTTAGTTTTATTACATTTTCATTTTGCGATTTCGAGCTGATTTTCGGTAACCGGTGGCCGTGTTTTAGAAACTAAATGATGATTTGAATTCTCCTAGGACCTCTGTTTATAACTAATATAAGCATTAAGACTTACAAAAATGAATTTCTCGAAATTACATAAAATTAATTAAGTTGGGGTAACAAATGTAGAAAGAATATTTTAACCAAGATTTTCTAAAAACGAAATGTTTCTAAAATAATTTAATTTATTTGTGAATAAGTCCTGAAAGTTTCATTAAAATAGGATAATTATTTGATCTTTGCAAGAATTTCCGAAGCAATGTGCTTTTCACTACAAAAAGCGATACAATTCCGTATACTAATTTATGGTCACCCGCTGACACAAGAAGAATAAAATATTTAACAACAGTTTCAAACTAATTTACAGCTACTGCCGCTAGTTATACCAGATTTGACTTTTTTTTCACCATAATCCACTGTACACTTGGACTGTTACTATTTTTTCTCTCTTAACTTCCAAACATAGTCCACAAGCTTTGTACAATGCCTATAGTTCTGTATCCTAAACGAAGAAGCCTGGTTGTACCAGTGTTTCTTAAAAGCACCCTTTGTACATCCAATATAAACTGTCTTTTGTCCACTATCACTGGTTAATTTTCTTCATCAAGATCACCATTTTTAGGAAATTCAGTCATCAGGATTTTTATTAAAAATCAGAACATCCAAATTCAAAAATAAATAATATATATATATATATATATATATATATATATATATATATATATATATATATATATATATATATAAAAACCTAAATATACGACAAACCTACCCAGGTTTCACTTAAGCTTGACTGACGATCCGTTTAGGTGAAACCTAGTTGGTTTGTCTGGCTCCTAAATTTATCTATTCTGCCTCTACGGTTGCATTGAGCTCTTTTTCAAGCCATTACTTGTTTATTCGTATCCGGGGTTTTTATTTGGGCTTCAAACCTGTATCTGTATATTTTTTTTTCGACAGACTTTCATGTTTCTAGCTCTTTCTTTTTTAAAACCTTTTTTTTCCTTCAAATTGATTTGATTATTGGCAAATCAAAAATTCGAAGGTTTTTCGAGACAGTATAGTTACCTATATATATATATATATATATAATAAAAAACCATATAAATCCTTTTTAAAAATAAACCTTTTTTTGATGATAGCAAAAGCGTGAAACCTAGGTTTATTTAAAATTCAACATAAATGAATATATATATATATATATATATATATATATATATATATATATATATATATATATGTCGACTCTTTTTGTCGAGATTCGACGTATAAATGGGTCAAACCAAGCCAGTTTCAGATACCTTAACCGAGCCCAACAACAGCATATGAAATTTGATTATTGTGGTGAATTTTCGTGCAGGACCATCCACACTTTTTTGAGGGACGAATACAGAGACCTGGTGCACCGAATGGAAAAGGTTCCCAAACGACCCTCCGCAGATTTTGAATTCAGAGTTGTCCTTCTCCTAGACAAGTTGCCATCCAAGGCTAAAGAACCCAGTCTGTCCTGTAAATTTATTTTACCCATAGCTGGAGGGAGAAAATTCATACCTTTCTCAAAGGGTATTAGCACGTAAGTGAATGTAACAAATTCGAACTAGGCTGACGATTCCTCAATCCAATTATCATATTCATTACTCCACCGTAAATATATATATATATATATAATAAAATAATTGGGGTTTGGTAATCCATGTGGATAATTCTAAAGAGGATGTAATCCAGGGAGCTCAATGTAACAAAAGAGCAAATATTAATCTTCAGCTTGGTAAGTTACACCCTTCTGTGAAGCAGTCTCCGTTCAAAGGGTATTTACTTTTGTTTCTGCAATTACAGATAACTTGTTGTTTTCTCCGCTTTTTTTTTTGTTGTGCCTCAGTTTTCAAATTTCTCGCATTTTGCTTCTATATGATGTTGTTTAAATTGCCAGTGCAACTGCAACTCAATTTCGCCGTGTTGCTGTTAAAATGTCTGGTTTCGCAAAGTGTTTTCTTATTAGACCAAAAAATATTTCTCCTATTTTTTTTTTTTTTTTTTTTTTTTTTTAACAGCAGATTAAAGTGTGTTTGTTGTGGGACGGGGTGAACCAAATCAAGTTTCTTTTTCATAGACTGTTATGAATGCTCTCCATTCAATGCTGTCATATAGTCTTTCTTTTTTCCCTTAGCGATTAATTCCTTGACAATCTGCTCTCAGCTCCTCTCGCGATGTACTTAATTACACACGCTGGATGATTGGATTTCGAATTTACATATTTTAACAGAATATTAGGTTTTCTATATGGGGTAAACTGTTATATATGAATAAAGTGTCGCCGTCGACACTTGAGTTTGAACATAGATCGCCAATGAGCAAACACAGGCGATCCCATTATTGAATTAAGAAGATCACGTAACCATAGAGGAAACGCATATGCGGGAATTAACGTAGCGTCTAACTGATCACCATTTCTAGTCTATCTTCTATTACTATACGGATTACTATTCGGATCATCATTTCTATTCTATCCTCTATTACTATACGGATCGCTATTCTCTATACTATTCACTATATTATTTCTCTATTCGGATCACTATACAGGTACTATTCAACCGATTTTTATTATCGAGCAAGTACTATATTATTTCAGATTTGATTTTCGAAGGCATCTGACATATTTTATTGTTCAACGGTGTACTATAGTTGTATCTGCGAAAACAAAAAACTCTACTTTTCAAAAGCGTTACATGAAAATGGCAACGATTATTCGTTGACATTAAAAAAGTGGTGGTTGAGTGTTTGTTGACATCATAAAAAGTGGCGACGTTTCAATTTTTTTGAGCTTATATTTTTATATTTTGTTGTATAGGAGTAAAAACATCGCTGCCGACACTGGCGTTTGAACACGGATCGCCAGAGAGCAAACACAGGCGATCCCAGTTTGAATAAGTAGATCACGTGATGACAAAGGAAATGTATATATGGGAATTAGCGTGGGCTCTAAATGATCACTATTTCTACTCTATCCTCTATTACTATACGTAGCGCTATTCTCTACTCTATTCACTATACTATTTCTCTATTCAGATCACTATACGGCTTACATGTCGAGCAATTATTATCGAGCAAGTACTATTAGTGTTATTCGAAGGCGTTTGACACCAGTATTGTTCAACGGCGTTACTATAGTTGTATCTGCGATTACAAAGTCTCTACTACATTGAACATAACGAAAGTGACAACGAGCATGCGTTGACATTACAAAAGTTTCAACGAGTGT